TTGTACAACCATATGAGACCCAGAGGCAGAGTCGTGGTCCCAGCTTCTTCTTTTTTTCTCCCTCCTCTGCTCTGCTCTCACTCTGCATGCTGTTACCAGAGCAGGGAGCAGCAGCGGTCAAAATACCTCAGAAACTTGAATAAATAGGCTTTAACAAGGCTTTAATAAGCTAAACAATAGAGGTACATGAGAAAACGTGTTCATAATGAACATAAATAAATAAATAATTAAATTATGTCCTTGTCGGTCTCAAACCCTGGTGTCCCACTATCTGGTCCAACACTCTACCCATTGCCCTATTGGAGGCCTGTTGTGAAATGAGCTACACATTGCACAACACCAACAACACAGTGACGGCTGTTTATACTGAGGAGGAGTCTCACCCTGGGGTAAGGGGCTGAACGCAGGTTCTGGTGGGTTGTCGTACGACTTGTGACATCACAAAATGTAGGAAAGTATAAAACTTGTCATTAATAAACATTAAAAATACATTTACTTACAGTAAATATGCCCCTGGGTGCATTTTTTTGGTCCTAGGACTGTTTTTTAAAGAAGCACATACCCAAAGTTGAGTAAAAAAAAACTTTAAAAAGTGAATTTTGCATAATAGGTCCCCTTAATGTCAAAATGGCCTGCCATAAATCACTACTTTACCTGTCTGAACTTTTACACCTTTATACTCCAGTGGAGCTCTGGGGTCAGCTGATGCTCTCAGACCCTCTTGTTTATCATTGTATTTGTTTTTAACTCTTGTTTCATTGTGTGTGTGTTTTTTTTTTGTCGAGGTGTTGATCTTATATCCTGGTCAACTATGGTTGTTTTTAAAGAGCTAAAAATAAACTTTATCTTGACTTGATGATTTATTGTGGTAATTTTGCACATATGAGTAAAGTATGTGGTTTTCTACAAACAAAAATACTACATTTGTACAGGATCAAACAACTTTGTGTATTGATATGTGTAGTGTCCAAGAGTGGAGGGCCTCTTCTCAGGAATGCACAGATGTGATGTCTCTTAGTTTCCAGCTTCAGAGTTCGGCACATATTACCATATTAGCAAGAAGGTATACTGTGACAAAATTTATGGTACATCTGTGAAGCCTATAAAGAGCCTTGTATGCCCCCATCCTTGGCCTTCGTTCTCCTTCTTTCTTACTTGGTGAATCATTTGGCAGTGAAGGCCATAATTTGGTTTTTGGCTGTAATCTCCTGGACTGCAAAATAAAGATTCTTGCTGTTCAACCAGCCTGTTTCAGAGTTCTCTCTTCATTGAGCAACAGCAGTTCCACTTGAACCAGAAGACGTGGTTATTTCACCTCATATGTTTGTTCTAAAACACTTTCCTGTAATGTAAATTAGTATATTTATCTGAGTATAGAGTCAAGTAACAGCTCTTCAGCTGGTAAAAGCACTCTTTCAGTTGTAAAGGTTGCAGAAGCTTTAGAGTTTACATGTACAATAGTTTGCCTTCAGGCCCAGGACTCCCTTGAAAAAGAGATCAACCATGTCAATAGGATTTTCCTGGATAAATAATGTAAAACTGTTAGAGTGAGCTTCTTATAAAGATTGATCTGATAAATAATTGTTGTGAGTAATGAATGATGTGTATCCTCTGTTGTGTAACAGGCGTTCCCGTGGGCGTGACTATGATGCAGAGCTGCAGAGGTGTCGTCCTGAGGCCACACCAGTGGAGTTTGGAGACTACCATCCCCTCAAACCCATCATGGTACCCTTGTCTTCTCAGGATTCACTGCAGTTTGTCTACAGTTGTTTCTATGGTTTGAATTGCAAAACCTAATTTTTGGAAATGCAGCGTCAGCATTTTCACTGTTCGTTTCCTTTTTGTTATTTTGTTTGTTTTTGCAATCAAACTATTTTTACACAAGTATTTTGTGCTATTTTTATTTTGAGTATGGGGTGGCTGTGTTAGTGTTTATCAGTGTATGAATGTGACTGGCACTAGTTAGTCTTCATAGATGATTGTACATGTTATCTTTGTAGAGACCTAACAGAGTGCTGTGTGAATGTGTAAATGAGGACACAGATTGTAGTGTGAAGAGCTGTGAGTGTCCTGGTTGGATAGAAAGGTGCTGTACAGTCTTGGCCATCCTGGGGTGCTAGCAGTCATCAGTTTACTTGTGAACACAAGTTTAAGGACTGTAGCCTAATTATACCCACTCCTTCTGTCTTATGGGGTCTGAACTTCTCTCAGACACTGACAGAATTCAGCTGAGCAGCTGATGGAGCAGTTTGTTAGAGTGAGAGGAGGAGAGTTAACCCAGCTTCAGTCACATATTTCATCCAGATCGGGACTCTCATCTGAGTAGCCTGGCCAGAGAGCCTCGATCCAGAAACTAGTGCTGGGCGGTATACCGTTTTGTACCGAATACCAGTTTTTATTTTTGTTATATGAATTTTTTGAATACCGAACATTCCAGTTTAAATAGCGGAACATTTTGTTGCAGCTGCCAGTGAACTGTTGTTTCCCAGGGAACATTTTTCCTTGCTGCACCGCTATGTGCATTAGCATGCTAATGTTTGGAGCAGCTAGTTGCAGCCGCGGGTGGCGATTCGGCTGCTTATATTGACTGACGTTTAAAAAAACATCCCGTTTTC